TGAAATCTAAATGGTTACATTCCAGCATCTCTTATTCTTCAGTTTTAGCAGGACTGGCTGTTTTCTAATGAATGATTTTCCTCCTAACAGCAAAGAAATGAATCCTGTGGGAACACACCTATGAAAAGGACATGGATGGAAGCCTGCACTATCATGTGATTCAGCATGTTTGAAAACAGTGTCCTGATGGTCTAGCCAGTTTGGACAGACTCTGTGAAGCACCAACATCTATATTTGCATGTTTTCTGGGTTTTGGACACACTTGTGATACTGGTTGCACAGTTGTTCCTTCTTCCACTCATTCATTATCATACTTGTGCCCTGAATTCTGACACAGACTGTCTCTTTTCCTCTTTGTCTCACTCTAGTACTTCATTTTTCTCAATCTTGCAACATTGCAAATCAGAAATCAGGTATCCCAGACACCTCCTCCAATCCTCTGGGCTGCTGAGAAACCAGTCTGTACACCAGCAGTATCTCCTGAGCTTAGCTCATGCCTTCTACGCAGACCCTACCATGCAAGGAGCAGATGATGCTTTTTGCTCATGTCTATACCAGGAAGAGGTTGAGATTCTCACCAGCTATTTCAAGTAACACAGACTAATGACCAGATGTTCAATGGTACTGACCATTCCCTGAACCTACACAGGGTCTCAAGAAAGCGTGTTAGTCCAGGATGAATAACTTGAGGTCACTTTAATTCTAGAGAAGTCCTGAACATGGCAGGTGCCTACACACGGAACACATTACCTTACATGAGCATGAAATCCAGAAATGCACCTGCAGGAGTGGATCTCACTGGTCAGGCAAAGGAGACTGGTGAGCTGTGAGGCAAGACACCAGCTCCAGGGCCCTGCTCCTAGTCAGTCTTACCCTGACCTCTAGATTGGCTTCAGATATGAAGGATAAATTTACTTTCAGAAGTGTTATCATGAATTGTGATGACTGTAGATATTCATGATAATCACATGGCTTTATAATACTTCATTAAACTTTAGCTCTTTTTTGTCCTGCACCAGGGAGCTCCACAGCCCAGTTACATCTCACATAGAAATGCATGTCTTAATATCCATTTTAAATTGTCTTCCCTTCCAATTTTCTTGAAGGTCTTCATGTTCTCACATTAAGAAGCTGGCGTCCAAAAACTCTAACAGGAAATTTGGTGGGAAGAATAGTCTTCATCCAAGCATTTCTATTGAATACTGAGCTAAGTCCCAGCTACCAGCCTGCAGGTAAGAGTCTACACTCTGTTCTCTCTGATCCTTCATAGCCAACTAAATTTACCACTACTGACTTTTGAAATCTCTGCCTTTCCAGCATCTTTCCCCAAAAAAGAGAAAAAGAAACGCAGACTGAAAATGACAGGTAAGAAAAGATGTGCACACACTCTAACTGACAATATAACAAGCAAACCTTGAAACACATGGCTTTCCAAATTACCTGTTTCATTTAAGAATGGTTTTCTATTTATTTTCAGCACAGCTGAAAGCACCATTTCTGAGATCCTAAACTCCACAGCACTGCTAACTCCTTGTGACATGGGCTAACAGTTTATCCCCTGATGCAAAGGGTCTTTTCACCCAGTAATCCAAGACTTCCACCATGGTAATCCCCATGACTTGCTTTCAGCTTGGAACCATACCAAATACTGCAAAACATTTGTCAGAGAGGAGCTCATCTTAGTTTCTTTCTCTTGCAGAACATTGTCACAGATCCAGGAAAGTAGACAAAATTCTACGAACACTAAGAATTAACTAAAACAGAAGAAAATACCCCAGCATTTTTCTTCCTCACTTTCTCCCCAGAGCTTTGCTGCTCAATCCAGGGTCTCGGAATTTGCTGACACAATCGTGCAGGACGTTCGGTCATTGAAACCTTTGAAAATGCCAAGCAAGTCCCTGAAAGGAAATGCCATTGCCAAGAGCTGAGTTCAGTCCCTCATATTCAACAATGTTTAGCTCTCATTTTCAATGAAACCAGCTGCCTTTTTCAACTGTCAGACCTGAGCAGAGTTTGCTCTTCATGCCCTCAAAACACGAGCCCAGATGCTGTGATGCCCTGGTCATCAGATCCACTCTTTTCTTGCCCACATCCCTGGTTTCTCTTTGCTAACACACAAAGATCAGAACAGTTTCACAATAATGAGTTTTCCTCCTTCCTACAGTCCTCAGCACATTTTCAAATGAAAGAATCAGCTTACCCCTAAGAGCCACAAACCAACATGAGGAGCTTAAGATATAAGCAATTCAATAGCCTGAAGTATCATGCATGTTGGGCAATCATAAATTTAAAGCAAAAATCCCTACCAATTTTATTTTGCATTAGATACTAAGTAAAACCTACTTGTGAAGCCAGATTACTAAGAAACCTTTTTGGCTGTTGTTTTGGTTGGGATTTTTTTACATCAAAACAGGATTAAAACTCACTGTCATTTTATCTGAGTAAATAAGCTTAGAGCGCCTAACAGTCAATTTATAATGAAGGCTTTTGTTCTTGTTACTGTGATGCAGCCCTGTAAATTTGCCCACAGCTGCAGCAAATTCAGATGGTTTTGACAGGTAAATAAAATACTATTTAGATCTGTCATTGTTATTAATCTGCAGAGTAAAGAAATAGCAATTATATTTTGTTTCCAAGCAGATAAATTTTCATCATGATCTTGGCAGGGGTGGTATAGAATAATGTGCATCTATGACTTTTACAGTTGTGAGGGTCCAAAATATGAAGAGTCTTTGGTCAGCTGTTGAGCTATAAAAAAAAAAATGGGAAATAAAGGCTAAACCAGTAATAAACACCGTAACAAAAAGGAACAAGGAATGTGGGATTTAGCCCTGTTGGAGTTTTATTGACATAAACACCAAATAAACCAAACTGCAGGTCTTGACATCAGCTGCACCAATTCAGTGCTCAGTTATTCTGAACTGTACTTCCAGGAAGCTGTGTCAGGATCTGGCTGTGCTTTAAAACCCCACAGTTTGGGCCTCCATAATGACTTGTGCTTCCCAGCTGCTGCAGGGGCAAAAGGTTTGAAATACTTCTCAAACAATGCTGGTGAACAAAAAATTATTTGTGGAATAAGGTGCTGCTCAAGGATGAGTAGCAGAATACAGCTGCAAATATCTTATTGTATTGGTCAGAATACAATAGAGAATGAAAAAAGAAATCCTGGCGAAAGCCTTATGAGATGCCAGTCACATCTGCTCAGCTCCTCACTCAGGTAAGCTGGCAGATGGTCAGCAAATAGTCTCACTTTTACAATGCAACCTACACTGGTTTTCAGAGTAGAGAAAATTAGGATACAATTATTTTCAAGTATTAATGTCCTCCAAGGAAGGAAGCTACCTTTTAATTCTGCTTAGGCTCTATTTGCTCTGACACGTAAGCCAATCTCGCAGGTGCCTACGTCTTGTGTACACAGGCAGAATGGCAAGCCAGGGAAGAGTACTAGAAATGTGGAATAATGCAAATTCCCAGGAAGTGAATTGCACGGCTTCCAACTTTTAGAAGAGATGGGGACAAGACAAGCAAGAGAAGAAGATGTACAGTATCTCCAAAAAAGGATTATTTCTTCCATTTCGATATGAAACCCTATGACTGAAAACTGTGCTTCACAGCTATCTACCAGCTGCATAAACCATTAGAGAAGGCTACAGTCCACTGAGCACTGAGCTGTGACCTATGGAACCCTTGGTATGACACACCCAGCAGGACTGTGGATATTGGGATTGGTTGGTGGCAGACCCCACTTCTCCCAAGGAAGAATGGAAGCCCATTCCCCACTTTCCAGCACCCATCACCACCATCCTCAAACCAACATAAGGGAAGGCAGAATCACTGCATTACAGATGTAGGCAACTTTGGGAAAGGCAGGACGTGTGCCAGAGCATGGACACTTTCAAATGAGAACTGGCTTTCTCCTTAACGGATCACACAGGTCCATGAAAGGGAAAGAACACCTGGGGTAAAACCCATTTTGCATAAGATTTCAATTTATCACCTTATATCCTAATATCTGTGCCCAAAATGGAAACAGTCAAGTTGAACTTTGCAATCCTTCTTCATACAAGGATCCCCTATTACGACAGGTAAGGGAATTATCCCGAGTAACAATGGTTATCTGCACATATGGGCTTGATCCCACAAGCAGAGGTCTGCAGCCTTCCTTGCACCTGCAAGCTGTGTCATGTTAGGTACAAATGTTGCTGGGTACATCACTCTAAGGAAGTTGCCAGCCTGAAAATATATGAGATGCTTTTAATTGTCATTAAATATGGAGCACAATGCTCAAGGGTGGTATCTTATATTCCAGCATGGTTGCATTTGTTTCATTCTCCTGTATGCTGGAGGGAAACTTTACTGGCCTAACCTCAGTTTGTACCACAGAGCATCTCAAGGCTGCAGCTTCAGCAGGTACAGTCGTAGCCAGCCGTGTTTCTCCTGCAGATTGTGCAACTGGGAGCACGGGAGCAGTGGAGCACCTGCACAGTTCCTATTAGCCATCCCCTGGGAAACACTGAAGTGGGGTTTTCTCGTGCCACATATTTTGTACAGACTGCAGTTGTATTTTTAAAAGCAAAGAGCACTTTAAACTCCTCCTTTGCATCACTTTTGGAATCATCGCGACTGGGTACCCACAAAGCACCGAACAGCCCTTGCTGAGATGCGCTCCGCTCCATGAAGGTGCCAGCATGTCCCTCCTCCATGCCACGGCTGCACGGCTCTCAGGCTGGGCATGAGTGCCCGGGGCAAGGCTGCCGGGAAGCAGAAAATGACGGAGCACGCCTCCACCCCAAACCTCCCTGGGAAACTCTACCGAGGTGCAAAATCTGGAGCCCGGGGCCTGTACAGAAGGCAGAGCCCCTCTGGGTTTGGGGTCCTGTTCCGGCCAACAGGGACAGCTCCTCAAGCAGCAGGCCCCGGGTCCCTCAGGCCGGAGCGTCGCTGCCACCGGGCCCGTCGCGGCCCTCACACCCCAGCGCCCACCGCCCGCGGTGGCTCACCTGCTCGGGCCCCTGGAAGCAGATCCTGCAGAGCGGGGTGCGGATGCCGCTGTCGACACTGCTGCCCAGCGAGTAGCGGTCCTCGGCCTTGCCCTTGCCGAAGTCATCCGAGGAGGTGCTGCTGGGCAGGGAGGGCGGCGGCGGCGCGGGGGGTCTCCGCAGCAGGAAGACCTTCAGGTCATTGAAGAGCATGCGGCAGCGGCACTTGAGGAGGCCTTGGTTTCGCAACATCTGTCTCGGACGGAGGAGCCCGCAGCAGCAGTAGCAGAAAATGCCCGCGCCGGGTGGTATTAACATGTGCCTTTCCTTGGCAGGCGGGCACGGGGGAAAGAAAAGGGCAGGAGCCGGGCGCCCCGCGGCCGGGGGGCTCCGCGGCGGCCGCGGTGCCGGGGGGGCTGCGCTGGCCGCCGGGGAACGCACAAAAGCAGAGCCGGAGGGCGAGGGGGCGAAGTCCCCGGCAGCCCGCTGCAACCCGGCGGGGACGGCAATTGAAAAAAAAAATCCACACCAGGAAAAAAACCGACTCTGTGCTGCCGAGGGATCCTTTCCCACCTCCACAAGTTTGCTTAGAAATTAGCGGGAGGAGGAAATAAATCTCCCACGCCCGAGGGTCCACGGGCGCAGGCGGCGGTCTCGGGAGAAAGCCCCCGATCAGCTCTCGCAACTCCTAAGCCAGTAAAAAAGAAGGGTCCACGTCTCCGGTGGGTGTGGGGAGGAGAGAGAATATGGTTCTCTCGACAGTATTTGGCATCTCAAGTAATTTTCCTTTTTCTTCTATTTTATAATAATATTTTTTTCAATTAAAAAATAAAACCCTATCACACGAATCCCGGTGTGCATCCAGACAAAATAGCAGCTGGTCTGGCTATCAAAATGCAAAATTGGTAGCTGTTGTTATTATCAAAATTGCCTCTTTGACAAAAAAGACCTTCACATTGTTTGTGGGAAAACACCCTACGTTTTCAACACTGTGCTCCCAGGTGGCTTCAGATTTTACCGTTGCCTTTAAAAGATTTAATTGTAAATATTAAAAGTCCGGAAAGAAATAATTATCATTCAATGAGCTTAATCCCAGATGTACTGAGACAAATATATTTTTATATATATAATATATATATCATATATATTTTATATATATTTATATATTCTGACCTTCTCTATTCCAGCAGCTGTCTGGACCACACACACCAAAAAAAAAAAAAAAAAAAAAAAAAAAAAAAAACCCAAAAAAAAAACCAGGGCGAAATTGATGAGGGAAGGCGGCTGTATTATTCCCTAAGCTGTTACCATCCTGGACCAAAAACCCACGTCGAAATCGGATCTATTCTTCGCATGTAATTGACCGGGGAAACGTGGATCTTACATGGTCACGTTTCCTTTCCTCCTTTCACAAAACAGGAACGTCATCAAACGCATTGGCAGCTTGTACAGACCATTGTGGATGGCGAGGCGGTCAGGGCTCTATCAGCAATTGCAGGGACCTCCTTTTGATGCATTGGACGAGGCTCCTTCTTTCTCTCCTCCACCGTCCCCACCTTCATTTTCCTCCTCTTCTGTCCTCCTCCTGCTCTCACTGTTGCTCTCTCTCACAGGCATTGACATTCAACCATCGCAAGTCTGTCGCACTCTCGCTGGCAGGGAAAAAAATCGGAGCAGATAATTCTCTTATTCCTCCTAAAAGGCTCGGATGGAGCACAATGCGCCAGACACATGGGGCAGCATGGCTTATTTTTCGTGCGGTTCCTACCGCTTTGGCAACATCGAGCTGGTGTGTGCGTGTGTGCCTTCCTCCCTCAGCAGCAGCCTCCTCTCCGCTCTCCCATCCGGCTTGCCGTGATGATGTTGCTGTTGCTATCTCCCTTGGATGCAATGGGGAAGGCAGATTGTTTGCAGTGCGAGCGGGGATTTGCAGGAAGGGAGGGGTGGGACGTGGCCGCGCTGTTCTTCCTCCCCCAATTGAAGGAAAAAAAAAAAAAAAAAAAAAAAAAAGAAAAAAGAAGAGAGAGAAAGAAGAAGCAAAAAGGCGGGGTGAGAGAGGGAGAATCAAAGCGAGGAATGGAGTCCTTCCCAACCTTTGATGCCCCGAGCTGCCGGCTGCCTGCGAGAGCCCACGCCGGGGAGGAAGGGAGGAGGGGCGGGGAAGGGGCTGGGCGGGCGCTGCGGCTTCAGCACCACGGGGCGCGGACAGCTCCGCCGGGAGCCCCGCGGCAGCCCCGGACCGGCTCCGCACCGGCCCCGCCGAGCCCCGCGCCTTCCCCGCCGAGCCCGGCCCTGCGGGACGCGGCCCCGCCGCCGAGGGGCACCCGGAAGGCGGCGAAGCCTCTGCGCGGTTTCCACCTCCACCGGCCGCTGCGGGGGACCTGTGACACACGGGAACTTCCAGGAGCAGGAGGCAGAGGCCGCGGGTGCGGCGATGTCTCAGGCAGTGGTGCGGGTTTTACGGGTTCCCAGCAGGAAGCTGAAACCCCACCAACAAACTTTTCCCTAGCAGATTATTTTGTTGCAGAGGTTTTCACGGTCTAATAGCTATGATATCATTATTACATTTTACTCCAGCAGCGTTTTTTGCTGATAGATTTGTTTTGTTTCAGTAGCATGTATTTCAGTAGAAAAATGGGTTCCTTGTAGCCCAATGGAGGGTAAATATAACTGAACACTATTGCTTAATTAGAGTTTTACTGCAAGTAATGAATGGATGCCAAGGCCAATCGTTTTTACTCTCTCAGCCTGTTTGAAAATTTTAAGTAGCAGCTGCTGTTGGCCATTAGCTTTTCTCTGCAATCATCAGCAGAAGTGGCTTTCCCCACCCCATCCTGCTATGTGCATCCATGCAGACCCATGCAGTCTCTGAATGCTAGGGGAAACTTAGATCTCCACTGGACCTTGGTATTTGCCATTGCAGCTGGACCAGCTGACAAAGGTGCTGAGTTTGATGCAGACCAAAAGTATTATTGATACAGTCTATGCAATATGGCTAATGTCAGTGGAATGTCTCAGTTCAGGGACCAGTGAATACCTGCAAGACGGGACACACCTCATGGTGCCTGGGTCTGACATCATGTCAGTGCCATTGAAATGTTATTTAGTTTGGTTTCTTTCTTAAATTTCTCCTTGAGGAGGCCATTGCCTGCACCAATTCCCAGTCTGGGTTCTCTAGCTGGTCTTGTGTACAAGGTCTTCATTGGCAGTGACCCAGGCAATACCAATGGTAAATAATCTCATGTCTCTTAAAAGTTGTGCTGGACCCTAGACAATGATTTGAAATTGTTTCCCATAGGAAAATACATGACATGCATAAAACACCACATCATGATTAGTAGAGGAATCTATGTTGTTACCTAATTAAAAAGGAGCAGACTGATTATTTGCTACAGGAAAATGAAACCAGCACATGCAATTAATTTCCAGGAAATAAATTACACATTGGGATGCTTTAAAACATTCATCAATGCAGCCTGCCGTTCCTCAGAAAAGCTGGGCAGATTTGCCAGTGTGGCTGTCTACAACATATTAAAGCTCCTCAGAATTTCATATGTGTCTAATGGGGTCATTAGAGAAATAATAATGGAAAGAGCATTTTAGAGACTTCCTGTGTGTGAGACAGACTGGCTAGAGGCTGAGTCTCTGTGTCCATGCTCCAGGATGGCTTTCCACCAAAATCCCCATGCTTTTTATTGCTCCCATCTTCTTGTCTTGATGTCACCAACATTTTCAGAATGGTTCCATCAATAAGAGAATTGGAGAAAAATATATTGTTGTCATCCTTTGCTTGTGTAAAGCATCTTTCATCCTTCCCTCCTGCCCATGCCTGGTTTTACAGAAAGGATATTCTCAGGCTAGATGAGATCTTTGTGTTATACTCTGGGTTTTAATGTATGGGCTGTGTGCCCAGAGAGTTGAATGGCTGATAAATGTGACAAAATAAATAAAACAAATAATAAATCGGAAGTGCTCCATATGCTTCCCAGAGGTGAGTGGGTATTATTTCTCTTTTGGTAAATGGGACAACTGCCAATGTTTTCACACTTGGATGCTGCATTCAGGCCCTTTGGTACGGATCAAGGTGTCTCACTTAAAATGCTTGCACTGGAAAGAGCTGGCCCAAGACACTTTGGTGAGATCCCAGTGCAAGTCAGGAGCTGTTAGGAGGCCATTTCAGCCTTCCTAATTTTGCTTCACAGGAAGCAATGTGCAGCAAATGATGAGCAGCATCTTCTTTTGGAGAAGAACCTGTTTCTGGGAGTTTTGATCCATTGTCTCTTGAGCCCACTAACAGGCAAGAGGTTAACATTGGGAGGGTAACTATGGGAGGCATCACCTCTGGCAGACACTACCTCTGCCCTCCTCAGGTACCCAAAGAGGAAGAAAAAACACATGACTCTATCAGCTAGGAGTGGATAACTGGTTCCTCTTGGTTGCTTACATCCAAGCTTCTGACTAGGAAATTAGACTGGGGAGATGTCCAGGCACCTTGGCAGGCCTGTTTGTTATAGAAGGATTCCGGTGTCAGGCTGCAAGTTGGTCTCACAGTAGACACTCTAACGCTGGTTATCTAAAGCACAGTGTGGGCCCATTTGCCCTTAGCTACTCCCTCAACAAGGACAAAAAAAGTATTGCTATTCATGTGCCTCCTCTTCACCTCTCTGTACAAGCCATGGCTCAGCACAGAGGGGGTGGAGGCAGCAAGAAAAAGAGTGGCTAGAGCTGCATCAGTATTTGGTCTGCCTGTGTGGCAGCTTGATATAAAATCATATAAGCAAATTTTCAGTTTTATTTTTTATGTTGTTAGTTCAGGGATTTTTTTTAAATGGCAGAGACTGTGAGAGGGCAAATGCAAGCAGGAAAACATTATGTGGACTGTAGCTGAACAGCTTGAACTCAGCACACTGGTCACTGTGCACAAGCATGTGAGAGACAGACAATATAAATGCTGATGTGGACAGAGAAGATCAGGGAACTAGAAAGCTGCCAGAGAAACATTCCTTTGTGTTTTCCATCTCTCAGGAAACAGTTACCTAAACCCATTTTCATGCCCACCTACTCGGTCAATAGCTGCACTGCGCCTCCTGCTCCACTTACAGCTCTTTAATGGTGCAGAGTAGCTTTGATTGCTGTGGCATGGGCCCCATCCCTCTGGCAAACCAGTACTTAAATCCAATACACTGAAGGTTCCTGCTGCTCTCTCAATGATGGGGAGCTGCTCATCAGCTGAGTACCCTCTGATTGCTTGTCACAGCCAGACTTCCTAGTTCTTTTTCCCGGAAAGAGATATTAAATAAATCTCAAGTGATGTAATT